CAAATTTGGATCTCTCTTTTCACAACTCTATTTTTTACATGCTATAGCTTAATGGAAAACTCACAATATAATCTAGCTTCTCTTTAAACACTGATGCAAGAAGATAAAAATATAAGAAGTAGCATAGAAAAACCTAAAATAGTATTGAATCTTTGCTCTCAAAAAATTCTAAAAAAAAAAAAAATTCTAACAAAAAAAAAAAAAAACAAAACAAAACAAATCCTTCTTGATTTTAAAACTCTTATCCTAACTTTCTTCTAATATCTGTCTTGAACCACTATATAGTTGGATGTCTATCCTAAAAGATAATATCGTTAAGATCAAATAATCCATTCAAGCCAACAACCTCTTATTTTAAATTATATTCAAATTTGAAAATATATTAGCATTAGATTTCTCTTTTCCTACTAGTAAAATTAATTACTTTCTAAATAATTTTGATGTATTTAAATTAAGTGCATCATAACACTATTGTTAACCTTGTATTATTTGCATTTCTAATCCAATCCATATCACAATAATCATGTAAAGTAATTTTATTACCTTCAAGACATAATTTGAAATCCAAAGCATCTTTTAAGTACCTCATGATCCTTTTGATGGTTGCCTAATTGATTGGTCAAGTCTTTAATATGTGTTGGCTCACAACACTTATTACATATGCAAGATACACTCTTGTGCCAACCATTGCATAAATAAGTGAGTCCACTACTACTTTGTTTGGAATATCTTGTATTTGACCTTCAACTTCAGCAAATTCTTCATCCATGAACTTTAAAAACTTCAAATTGGCCTCTAAAGATGTATTTATATACTTGAACTCTTCCATATTGAATCATTTCAACACGTCTTCAATGTACTTGCTTTGATTTATTATAAGGATCTTTTTAGCATAATTTCTTATAAATTCTACTCTTAAATAATAGTGAAGCTCTTTCAAATCACTCATCTCATACTCCTTTTTTAACTTTGCCTTCAACCAATCTATCATCTTCAATGTATTATTTAAGATGATTAAATCATCAACATAGAGAATAACAATCAATATGAAGTCACTTGATTGTGTGACATATATAAAATAATCAACCTTACTTCTTTCAAATCCTTCATTTAAGAAAAATGTGTCAATATATTGATACCATGCCTTTGATAATTGCTTGAGTCTATACGAGAATTTCTTCAACTTACAAGGTGTTATTTGTCTTCTTCAATAAATCCTTGAGATTGATCTATATAGATGTATTTTTTTCTAATTTTCTATTTAAGAAAGCCGTTTTTACATTTATTTGATGTATCTCCAAGTCCATTGATGCCCCAATTGCCACAATGGTTCTAATAGTCTTAAATTTGGCCACAAGAGCAAATGTGTCATTGAAAACAATACTAACAACTTGTGAGTAGCCTTTGGGAATTAATCTAACCTTCTATCTCATAATATTATCTATTGTTGATCTACCTTCTTTAATTCTTCATCTTTACTCATACCTTTATCATCTTCATTGTCATAATCTTCGTCTTCTTTCTTTGTTGAATTAGAAATGCATCTATAAACATACCATTACTCCCACTTCGACACATCTCTAAGTCTTCACAAGCATTCTTATATTTCTATGCCTCAAGGACTAATTTTGACCCTAGTTAGTTTGAAATTTTCTTATTGAATGTGCATAACATTTATGATGATCATATCTTATATTTTTGTTTATAAAAGTGTCATAATAGACTTAAAAATATATTTCTTCTTTATAAGTCAATCAAACATTGTAAAGATCTAACCTATGGTAGACTTATACTTATTTAAGTTTTTAGCAAATCTAACATCAATTGATTCTATAATATTTTTATATTTTTAATATTTTATATTAAATATAGTACAAATATCATAACAAATATTTTTGATGATTCTATTATAGTTGTATTATATTTTTTTTTATTATTCTTAAAACATGTAGAATGTCTAATTTAGTATACATAATTACATACATAATATTTTCTATTACATTTGTATATGAGATATTGGTTATATACTATCTTTTATTTTCATTACTAGAATATTGTGATGATGATAACTTAAAATAAGATGTTAAGAGAATTCTTATTGATTTATATTTCTATATGAAAGAATATTATTATTATTTTTTTTTAATATACCTTCTAAATAATATCTAAATCTTATGTCACCTACAATCTTAATAGACATCAAAATCTAGTTTTTTGTAAATAAATTTAAATATTTTAAATAAAACTCTTTAATGGATTATTTTTTTAATCTAATAATCTTTGATTTAATTTTTTCTACAAAAAACTATCATTAACTTATAAATATAGAATATCCATATAAAAATATTATTTTTTATTAGTCTAAAATAAAAATATTAACCAAAATTACTTTAAAAGTATCTTTGTTTTGTCATAATGGCACTAACTTGTTAATATTTTTATATATAATTATGCTTTAATTTTACAACGTCTTCTTTAAATTAATTTTTTTCTAATTTTCTTTTTTCAGAAGTGCTTAAAATAAAAAATCAATAAATCATCTTTTTATCCTTGCAAACTAATTAAATTGTTTCTATTTTGTTTTGGTCTGATGTCACACCTGACATACTTTTTCTAATTGAGTATTTCTCTGCTTTTTAATTTTCTCTGAAAATATAATTACATAAAATATTTTCTACCTTATACAAATCTATTTCTTTCTTATGTAATCATCTATAAAATAAATAAATAAATAAATAAGATATGATACTCAAACTTTTAAAGCAAATAGTAATAGTTCCTATATATGTACATATACATAATTTTGCATATCTTTAACATGAAAATTAAAACTAAAGAAAGAAAAAGATAGTATATAAAATCATAGATATAAATATCTATATGACAAAAAAACACATTCTTATTTCCTACAAAATAGATTAGTTATCATATGCTATTAATGAAGGCCAAAAAATAAATAGCAATCAAAATTTATCTTTATTTTTTAAATACTTGTTAATCCTCTTAAAAGATTATTATCAATAATTATTAATTTATAAAAGACTTTTTTAATTTTATTTATTTTATTTTAAAAATATTTATTTATCTTTAAGTATAAAAAATAAATTCATATGTTTAAACATAACTAGTTTTTCAAAAACATTTATCATGGATAGACTTTCTATTTTATTTTATTTTTATTTTCATGAAAATAGACAAAAAATTACACACACTCAAAAATAAATATAAAACAAAGTTTTTTTTTTTTTTTATTAAGACTTACAGTAATATACATATAAAATTGTAATATTACCAAAGAAAGCACTGAAGCCATTTAAACCCTCAAAGATTGTCTAAAATTTTATCTTGAGTGCCTATCAAATAGAACATATATCATGCTACATAGATAAGTGCCCCTCTCTTGTCTCCCACTTAGAAGATATTAGGATGATGCCCCCCACAAACAACATCTCCTATCCAATAAACTATTCTTAAAATATATCATTGTTCATTGACATTCTTTTGCAAAAACAAATTTGGTTTTTTATTTAATTAATATATTTATTTTGCCAACAAAAAAATTATAATATTTTTTTTGTAATTTTCTCTAAATATCTTTAAGATTTTATAACTAAGACTGTAAATTGCTAGTCTTATGAAAGTTTCTAACTGAAATTCTACAAAGAAAAAAATCTTCTAGAAGTCAAAAAAATATATTTATATATATATATATATATATAGTAGTATTGATAAATTCTCAAAGACACAGCTTGTGTTGAACATCCAAGTTAACATTTGTAAGTAAGATCAGTCAACAAATCAAGCTGAAATCTGAATGCATGAGTATCAGAATAGACAATAAGATGCTTGTTCCGAGATATGTTGACACTTGTAACCCACAAGATTAAAAGAAAAAAGACAATATAAAACATAATAATATTAACAAATAGGCTTGAAATTCCATATATTAATAATGTATGTGTAATATTTAAGACTATTTATTTGTATCTTTAGAAAAACATTTTAATACAAGTTTGTTATAAGTGACATACTATTTAAGTTTGTGTAATTTTTATTTTATTGTTTTTTTACATTAAAATCAAGCTTGATAATAGGTGTATAAAAACCTTAATAATTCAATGTTGAATTTTTGAGAAAGTTTTTAAAATCGTTTTTAAATGTATTAACATCTTGTTATTGAAATTCAGAATTAAATACAGCACCCAAAGATTCATAAAACTGGTTTAATTTTTTTATTTGTTTAGTATTATCTCCATATGTTGTTACTGCTATTCCGTTTTTTTTCTAAAAAAAAAAAAATGTATTTACATGGTATATATTATTTTTGGATGGTACGAGATATTTAGTAATTTATAATGGTACCCAGTATTTATCATTTTCAAATGGAATTTATTTTTGAAGAATGGTAGCATTTAAAAAAATAAAAAATAAAATAGAAGTATTTCTATTCACACAATTTGGTGTATATATGTATATTTTTCTTTTCTTTTCTTTTATTTTGTGAAAGAATTCAAGAATTATTGAAGGCTCTTGCAACATTACCACATCAAATAAACCATCAAAATCAAAGTTAGTTAATTCTGTTATACTATCATTGTATGTGACTAGTGTAATATGATGTAAAAGATCTTGTAAACTCTACACTCATTAAGCACTAATACGATATTAACATTGTTACTGTTGTTTATGTCTTAAGTATTATAAGACAGTGGAAATCTAGTTTCAGTTAATTATATACACACAACCATAAAAGAGTCACTTACACATAAACCAAGTTTTTGATTGGAGGAGGATACAAAGCCAATTTCTACCTCAAAAAATTATTCTTACATTTATCTTGTGAGTAATGAAAAAGCCTCAATGAATTACTTCCCCTAAACACGATTAAGCTCGAGTTAGTGTCAAGCGCAGGGCGTGCGCAGGGGGGGGGCAGAGCGGGCAGGGCGGGCACACGATGAAGAAAGTAATGGGAGGTGGGGGGGGGTTGAGGAAGCAGGGTTAGAAATGGCCATGGCTGGCGCATGCTGCGAGGATTCGAATGTTGTTGTTGTTGTTGTTGTTGTTGCTTTGTTGCAGAGCGTTTGTGTGTTTGTTTCGACACCATCGATGCGCCGCTTTCCTTCGTTGTCACTCGACTCGTAATTGGCTCTCTAACGAGCTCTTACGATCCTTATTCGCTTCTCAATCGGCGTAGACCAGGGATGCAAACTGCGGTGGCGTAGCTGTTGGACTGCGCGACTTGTAAGTGAGATTGTGAGAGTGCGAGAGCAGGACAAAAAGGGAGCAGGAAAGAAGGAAAAAATTAGAGGTGCAAGGACTACTTTGCTGCTCATGAGTTAGACCGGCTCTGGAGAGCATTTTGGTGATGGTGTTTTCTGTATGAAGCGGTCCAGAGAAGAGGTAGTGTGTTGCGTTGGTGGTGGTAAGGGATGGACGGGCATGCGACCTCGAATACCTCGGGGAGTAGTTTCGCTAGTGCCAGCACCGCCACGGGCGGGACTTCCACCAGCAGTGTTACCTCGTCGATTTTGGCAATCCCCAGTGATGCCGCGATTTTGCAAGTAGGTTCTCCTGACATCTGAGTTCTATGTTTGCATTGGCGAGGTGATTCTTGTGGCGGCGTCTGTTCGGTCGGCAGAATTGAGGGTGAAGTGGAGTTTTCTCAATTGCGTGGATCGCGATATGTTTCTCATTTCTTGCCACTTGTGTTGGTTTTTTCGAAGATTCTAGTTTTTCGGGGATCTACCTCTGTGCTGCAATGTTTTGGCTGCATCCGGTTTTAAGTCTTGTAGAAGAGGCTCCTAAATTTAAGCAATGAATTTTGGCGTGGGAAATCACATGTTGCACTTATCGTAGACCTTCTCTGTACATCAGTGCGAATAGTTATGAAGAGTTTGAACCGGTGGACCAGTATGGAGAAAAAAAATGTCTTTCCAATTCGATGCTGTCAAGGTGCAATTAGGTTAGAGCTGAGCTGTTGGTCGATTTTCTCTGAATAATGAAGAAATTTATGATCTGGGAAGGTTGTCATTCGATGTGCAGCTCAAGCTTTCGTTGAAGAGTTTCTGGTATTCATGTACCACTATGACGACGATTTTTTAATACTGGAAATACTAGCCGATAGCTTTGTTTCTGCCGAAAAGTTGATTAGTAAATTCTCTCAGCTATGCGATAGTTTTCATGGTTGGTTAGTTACAACCATGTTTCTGACTAAGTACAGTATGAATTCGTTGGACTCAAACTCTTCAAAATCAATCACGTGATCAACTCTCAATAACTAATTTGAAGGTCACGCGATTGAGTTGGTCGATCCGACTTCAGAAATCAGTTTTCCGTGTGGTGTATTCCAAGGCTTTTTCGGATGAAAGGTCTGGATGTACATTGACTTTGGCCAATAGTGGAAAGTTTCCACGGGCATCTTTCTTTTACACGAATATTGGACGGTTTCCTCTCCGGGTAATTCCATTGCTTTAGTGGGCTGCTGAATGTTACAGCCAAGAATGCATGATTTTCTTTCAGGCGCGCGAAGCTGATGTTGGTTGCTGATCCATTTTGTGCTTGCAGAGATTGATAAAATGTGGAGTGCCTTCAGAATATCTGGAAAGGGGTAAGGACGGAATTGCAGAGTATGTGAAAGAGCACAAACCTCAGGTTTCGGAGGTCATCGCTGCGCTTTTACCTGGACCAGATGAAGTTCAGGCGGTTACGTCATCAGGAACAGATGAGGTTCAAGGGCCAGGAACACGCAAGGAGTTTCTAAGCCAATGTAGAGATGCGCTCAAATGGGTGCAGTGGGTTATGTTTCAGGGGGAGCCACAGGCGGTCTTGGCGGCTGCAGGACAGGGAACTGGAAGCACCAGAGGTGTATGTGGAGCAGTTTGGGGTAGTAACGATATCGCTTACAGATGTAGGACCTGTGAACACGACCCTACCTGTGCTATTTGTGTGCCATGCTTTCAAAATGGAAACCATGCCTCACATGACTACTCCATGATCCGCACTAGTGGGGGTTGTTGTGATTGTGGAGATGTCACTGCTTGGAAACAATCAGGATTCTGCTCCAAACATTGTGGTCCTGGACAAGTGTCACAACTTCCGGCTTCTCTCGTGGAGTCTGCCACACCGGTACTGGAAGCTCTCTTGTTCCAGTGGATACGTACACTGAAGGCTGCAGAGCTGGTGGCAGAGAATAAGGCTAAAAAGTGGACTGCTCAGTCCGTGGATGAGAAGGTCGCATGCCAATTATCAGTGGTGTGTATTGAGATGCTACTAGAATTCTGCAGTTTTGGTGAACCCATGCTGGCCTTTACTGCAGAAGTCGTGGGTAACAGAAGTTTAGGACTTGTGGATACTTTGATGGGCACTGAATGCTTTTTACCGGATAGGTGTGTGAAACATTTGCAAGAGCTTTTATACAAGCTTTTAGGAGACACCAAATTCAAACATACTTTTGCACAGACATTCATATCACATTATCCAGCCTGTTTACGAGAGACCTTCAAAGAGGATGCTGCAGTGCTTGGAAGCCTCACGAGAAAGAAATATCGAGAGCATTCCATAGTCAATAGCTTCTCCGTACAGATTTTCACGGTCCCGACACTCACACCCAAGTTAGTGATGGAGGATGGACTCTTGGACATGCTTCTTGATACATTAAAGGAGTTCTTGCGTGGTTGTGTTGGGGAGGATGGGCGTATATCGGTATGTAGTTGCTCACTTGTGACTTTTTAATACTGAATTCAATCAACTGTTGTGTTTTCCTAGGAGGCCGCCGGGATTTTTTGTAATTGAAAATATTCACTTATTAACATCTTCAGTGAGTCTTTTTGTTCATCACACAGAAGCGATATATATATATATATATATATATTTTCTGTGGAGGAAGATTTATTGGTTTTCATTAATTTTGGTGTGCAGGTAAGTAAAGGGCCCGTGGTGGACCGGCATTATTTCCGAATAATAGATGACATTAGATACGTCATGACTCATTTGGAGGTATCACGATATGTTGCACGGAAAAGACCTGAACTTGCAAGAGCTTGGTTGCACTTGGTTGCATTTGTTCAAGGCATGTATCCACATAGGCGAATAACAAATACTCACGTTGAAGACGAAACCGACATCTGGGGGTCAGCCTACTCATTGGAGTCTCAAATGGCGTTCATTCATCCTCTATTTGTTGGAGGAGCTGCTGTATCCAGCAACTTAGATCCACGCTCTAAGGACGATCTAATGTCTGATTCTCAGGGTGACCTGGCAGCGTCGGGCAGCTCGGACGGGGTCGTCTTTTCTAATGGGAATGTTAATGCGGTTGATGGTTTGCAAAATATCAATTCGGAGGCTGGTGATACAAGAACACGGGTTGTAGATGTAGACATGTATGATGCCGTACTTACTGCTGATTCTATTGATGATGTATCCACGGAACTCAGTCTGCAGCGAAGAGGGAAAATAGAGTTTGAGACGGTATTCATTGCAGGAGTGCAAGTGTCAGCTTCATTGGTATGGTTTGTTTCTGAGTGTGCTCAAGTCCTTGTTACCTGGCTTAGTCTAGATGCCTCGAGAGAGTCAGTGAAGTCAGGACAGTTGGCTATTGATGCTAGTCAGATTTCTGGCATTCGAAGGAGCACTAGATGGCGAGGTAGAGGGGGCAGAGGAATTAGGGATTCACCCACTCAGACCACCGGTGGCCAAATTCGAGTATGGCTGCAACGCAGTAGACGGCTCCCTTTTGAGCCTCGAGTGTGGCCAGAAGCTGCTACTCAAGAGCAAGCTGCAATGGGCACCAATTCTGGGAACCAAGTTGCTGACATGGATGTTGAAATGCAGGTGGGATGAGGATTTTAATATATATATATATATATATATATATATATATATATATATATATATGTGTGTGTGTGTGTGTGTGGTGTTTCATTTCATGTCATTTTGATTTACTTTTTCTCGCGTTACTCAAAGACAGTGATACACATGGATCAATTTCATGATCTAAGCCATCAATTTTGTGTTTTCATAAGTTCCATATTTTTACGCCATTCTGTTTATCTGTCTTGCAGGCTCCTGGTGAAGGCTTTGATAACAGAGCTGCAGAATGGTGGATGGGACCTGAAGGATTAACGACATCGAATATTTTAGACCAGTCTGTTGAGGTCGATGAATGGCCTTTAGTGGATTTCGATGTTAGTCGGCAGGATGTATCTTTTCATATCCCATTACATCGTATGCTTGCTCTCCTACTTCATAAAGCACTTGAATTTCATTCTGCTAAACAGGATAAATCATTTGGAAAAGAAAAAATCTTATCCAGTGATGGCACTTCTGGTGAGTGGAGATCATTCCTGGAACAAGTTCTTCCTCGAAAGTTTCGTGTGCCAGGGTTTGCTGCCGTTGTGATGGAGCATCCTCTTCGTTTACAAGTTTTGTGTGCACAAGTTCAGGCTGGCATGTGGCGACGGAATGGCCACGCAACCAGGGCATTATGCGACCTTTATCATTCTGTGCATTGGCAAGTTTCACTTAACTGGTGTCTGATGTCAGCTGGCTTTATCTAAACATTCAAATGTAGTAGATGTCTTTGGCATCAGGACGTGCCATTTAAACAATAACAATTTTTTTTCGAGGTAAATATTTAAAATAGTGATAAACAGTAGTTAATAGTGTTCTTTCAACTTCTTGCATCATCTCTGAATATGAACTGTGTCAGTTTATTCATGACAAGAATTTTCTGCTGTTTACAGGTGTGAAGATAGCTTGGAAATTGACTTGTTTCTACTCCAATGTTGCGCCGTTCTTGCACCTTGTGAAGCCTTTGTGGATCGGATTGTAGCTCGATTCGCACTTTCGGATTACTTCAACTTTTCATTTTGGCATCCTAATGAGTACGACCTGCTCTATCACCCATGTCTCAATTTCAGCGTGAGAAATATGCTTGGGAAGCTAAATTTGGAATGTTTTGGAAGCGTGTTGATCATGTCTGTTTAATATGATTCCTTTAACGTTTTGCACTTGCAGCTGAATTATAGGTTCAGTGTAATAGTTTTAGCAAGCGTGGAGTTTTCGTGTAAATGGTGGCCAATCAACAGTTATTTACCCTGAAATAATACGTGTATTTTAGCAGTCAGAATTAGTTCGAAAATTTACCAGAAAGCGCTAAGAATTGTCCCTTGGGTTATCCGCAAGCAGCAATGTCGTATAAGTTCCAGTCTGTACTTTGTCAGTTGCGTTTGATGCACATTGACGTGATCTACGAGGTTGATGCGAGAAAGTACTCGTGAAGTATCGTGCATCCTACTATATCTATAAAATATGCTTTTGATTTTGTGTTTAGTTTTTATTTCATTTCATTTTATTTAATAATATATGTTTTGTGACTTTCTGCTACAACATTGTTTTTCTTGCTTTGCACACAGATACCAGGTTACTTTGGCGCAGGAACTTATTATTCTATTGATCAGGCTGGTTTCCGAGCGAGGTTTTTGTGGGCTGACCGAGAAAGAGTCCTTACGACGAGAGTTAGTACTAAGATTAGCTGTTGGGGATACTACTCGCAGTTACCTATTGAAAGCTCTACCTCCACGGTTGCAAGACAGCAAGCATTTGCAAGAATGCTTAGATGCAGTTGCGACATATCGCAATCCTTCTGGAATGCAGCAGGTGAGACTGTCCCTAGCTACGTAATCCCTAATAGACGGGGTTACCCAATTCGGATAATTTCTAGCATCTGAAATGATAATATCTATTCAAAAATCAGATTTTATTTTAAGTCAAGAATTTTTTTTGATTGTCTTTTTGGTAATAATTATTGCTTGATGACGAAGTTGGTCTCAGAAGAATGATCAATTTTTTAAATCAACAAATGAAAGACTCACTTTACTTTTTCTTAATTTTTGAAGCAGTCCTGGGCTGCCAGATTTGGGAATCTCATCTTTACTTAATTTTTAATATTGATGTTGTAAATATTCAAAAATGAAATCATTGACACTTCTAGGAATCAGTGACTGGTTTTGTTTGCATCTAGTCATCATAGAGAGGAATATGTGATTTTTGCTACTACTATAAATATAACCACCTGGATTTTAAAGCACGAGATAGGAAACCTCAAACTTATCTACATGGCGTTGTTTCTTAATTTTTGTTTTAAAAAAATGTTTCTTAATGTTTAGAATACTTTCTTGTCTTCTTTCCATTCATACTCATTTTTAGATTGTAATCGTTATTTACAGTGGATCTTTAATAAAGTTATTTTAGACGATGATGATCGTCACTCATAGTTGGTTTGTAAATCCGCGAAACCAATATCGATTGAGGTGTTTGTTGTGGTTGGTTCGCTCAATGTCTAATTATTGACTTTTGGCCGTAGGCTGTTTCTTTTGACTCAACACTAGGTTTCAAAAGTTGAGCTAAGTTAGGATGATTTGCTTTGTTATCTGGTCGTTGTTGTATATGGTGAAGTCCGATTTGTTAGCCGCAATTTTTTTAAACATAGTGATTATACTGTTGTTGATCAGTTCTTATTCTTGTGCAAACAGGGTAAATATGCATTGAGAGATGAGTGCTGGTGCGAGTTGGACCTCTACCATCCACGATGGAGTCCTCGGGAGCTTCAAGCAGCGGAGGAACGTTATTTGAGAGCATGCAGATCACCTGCTGTATTTCTGCAACTGCCTCGGTGGTCACCACCATTTGCAGCTTTACAGGGTTTGGGACGGTTAATTACCTCTTCTCGGGTTCATGATATGTTGCGTAGCATTTTTTTCCATGCAGTCTACACTGATGATCCATCCAATTCGCGTGCTCCAGAAGAACTTCTTTTGTACGCTCTACATCTTCTTGCCCTAGCCTTGGATGTCTGCAAATCCCCGAATAATATAGGTGGCGAGCGTAGAGAGGACCTGCTGGGAAATAACCGTCCGTTCTCGGATATCGAGAACTCAAGTAGCAGCAGTGTTAAAGAGCACCCACCTTTGTTGCTTCGCTGCGGTGAAAAAGTAGCTGTAGGAAGAGCCAACACCCTTGTTGCGCCGGAGTCTCAGAGTATGCTGTCTCTACTGGTGTTGCTTCTGCGGAAACCTCGTAATGATGGAGCAAGTGAAGCAGGATCCTACGGGTTTAGAGATTTAATAAAGAAGCTGTTAAGAAGTTTTGCAGAGTTGGACAGCATCTGCATGTACGAAATAGAGTTACTTGCTCCCGAGGTTCTTCATCGTGTCTCTGTCGGCATCACACCCAAGATTGATGGAACTGGAGGCATCGATTCTAAAGATGTCTCAGTATCCGAGTCTGACAGACGAAAATCTATTGCCCGAGAGCGTCAAGCTGCTGCTATGGTAAGATCGGTTATCTTTGCGTTTATCCGTATTTTGTTATGGCTGCCGAAGGCCAATTAAATGCTTGGCTTTGAATCGTCACTTTGAGATGTCCTTGAATTTTTGTAGTTTATAGCTGCAAAGTGTTAATGACCCATGTATAGCACGCGCTCATGTGAACTGAAGAATTTCTTTTATTGTTATACGTGTACTGTCTTAGGCCAAAATGAAAGCTGCGCAAGAGAGTTTTGTTGTCAATTACAAACCAACAGAGGAGAGCAGTAATTTAGGGGATGGTGATGAAGCAGAGGCAAAACGACCAAAGGAGTCCAGAGGAGAAAGTGATGAGTTATGCGAGGATGTTCAATTTACTCATTGTGCACTTTGTCGAGATGCAGCAAGTGCAAGTCCTCTGTGTTTTATGGTTCTTGTTCAGGTAATCTAATACTCTTAACATTTCGATTTCGCGCGTGGACACTTATCTGGGTTTCCAACTACAATGTCACTCGGTTATAGTGAAATTCTAGTAGCTTGCTTCTAAACTAGAAAATTGCTTTGTTCAAATATACTTAACCCCTTACTCTCTGCGGTATTGTTAGTGATTACTTTCAGCGCTGTAACAATGCATGCATTATTAGTGCCTCGTCTCCAGGATTTTGTAATGCCCAAGTCATTCTAATCAGCGCCACTTTTCCTTCTTGGTAGAGATCAAAATTGCTTGCAATTGCTGAGAAACCAACTCCATCCTGGAAGCGTAGCCTAGTTACGCTAGACCAAGTTGAGAGAGATGGTGAATCATCTGATGGAGTAAACGCTGCTTCTGGCGTAGCCTCAGATGGGTCAAGATACTTGAATAGCACAGCGGAGCTTTGGCATTGGATTCAAGAGGCTTTAGGGGATGCTCAGACACAACCTCGTCTGCTTGATGATGAGGACGTACTGGAGCTGTTACGAAATGGGCCTGGTGTTCGTGATACTTTTCATGTGACTCCTGAACCACTTCTGAGCTGGGATGCAGCAACTGCAATATCTTTAGATACTGTATCAGAAGAAGTTGAATCTGGTAGTGAGATCGCCGAATATGAAAACGATAATGAAGCTGGTACGTACGAAGCAACAGGTTTGTGCAACCAATATCTAACTTTCATTTTTGGTCATCAGCTTTGTCCATCGGTTTATTTCGTATCCCGATTACAATCAGGAAGCATAATCGAAATTGTATTGTCATGTCTTCGTGTGTACACCGTCAATTCAACTTTCATAAGCAGATTTGTTGCGGGCTAGGAATGTTTTGTAACGGATCTGCAGAGGAGAATAGTTTAGGTGAAGAACTAAGCAGTTGTAGAATAATATTTGGATAGGTTTCAGGTGAACACGCCCAAATTTTGGAATTAAGTTTCTCTTTGTTGCCACAGGTCTATCCATTTTGTAAACATTTTGCATCCATCTCAACCCTTTTGTACTGCCAGATGTGAAAGACCTTGCTAATGTAAAACTAGGTTTCATACGTCGCAGGTAGTGTGAATGTCAATTGGTGGGAGGACAATCACAGTCGGGTTAATCAAGGAGAGAGTAGTACAAAAAGAGACAAGGCTGTGGCAACTGTTTTAGCGGAATATGTGGCTGCAGCTGTCTGTCGAGGACAATCTCGACCCCAGGAAAGAACCCGGTATGGAAGAAGCGAGTCTCCCGGACATACAGGTCCAGAACAACTAAGAGAAGGTCTCACTCGCAGCAGGAGAGCAACTGCTCGGATTCCTTTATCAATGTCTGAAGCTATACGTTATAAAAACAGTGACACAGTGGGTGTCCATATGTCTGCTTGTGGACATGCTATACATCAAGATTGTCGTGACCGCTATTTTTCCTCTCTTTTGCAGAGGTACTCGGAGCACCCTTGAACCCTTGGTGATTGGAAATGATTTCTAGGATTTCATGCTCCGCAAGTTCTTGATGCAGACGCTTGTGTGAAATCTCTGCATTTGATGAGAATATTACATTGTCTCACACTATATGCCAAGTTATTCATCCTATGGATAAAATAATAATGTTGAATAGTATTATTCCTCCATTTAGTGTAACGGTTTGTTTTCAGCTCTGTTTTTTTTCGCTTGACTTTAAGATAAATGCAAACCAGTTAGTTGCTATGTTTTGTCAATGGCATCATATCATCTCTTGACACCTCGCTGTTTGATTGCAGATTTTACAGCAGGGCTTTATTTGAGGGAGTACAGATAGTGGACCTTGACATGGTACATGGCTTTCTGTCATATAGTGATAGTTATTGTTTCCCTCTGCAGATGTTCGTCGTCTTATGTCAAACTTGGTGGGTTTATTTTGACTTGTTGTAGGACTTAGCTTATTCCAGCATGCTTACTTCCGTCATTACGAATAAACTTACGTATTCCCGTAAAATTGTGTTACAGGGGGAGTTCCTCTGCCCAGTGTGTCGTCGACTAGCGAATGCAATTCTGCCGGTTCTTCCTGGTCAAACAGGGTTGAATAGTTCTTTCATATCCCCAAGCGTTGCTCAGCTTTCGAGTGGTGTGTCTTCTAGTACTGCGTCATTGCAAGTAGACCATGCTTTGAGACTGCTTGTTAAGGCTGAAGAATTGGTTTCCAGATCAGAATTCCGTAAAGTGGCCGATCCACAGCTTCCTTACAATGTTAAGGTGGTTTTGGAGGACCTTGCCAAACGACTTTGTGGATTGTTCTATTCCGAGAAGGATCTCTTTACATCTCTAAGCTCTATTCAGGGTCATGTACATCAAGGCCTACTTCTTTGGAATGTCTTTAGGTACTCCCTGATGTCTTCAGAGTTGGCTTCTCGTAGCCAGAAGCTTTCTGAGAATAATGGCAATGGTTTGATGGCTTTGATTGAAATGAGCGAGGCATCACACGGTTCAGTATTGCCTCTCTTACTTCATGCTGCTAAAGCCACGCAAAGTCAGAGTCGGCTATCAGTGCTGCTTCGGGCTCGGGGAATGCAACTGCTAGTGGACTCCATTGTTAATGGCATATCTAGAGATAATCACGCGAACGATATTCCAAGGGATTTGCATGGTAAGTTAACCAGTCTAATTATCCTGAAGGAATAGTATGATAATCTGGAAATTAGGGATCTGAAACTTAATATAAGCATTGGTTTCTTTTTTGGCCATTTCCTAATTGATGAATAGCCTCGCATTTTTCATGCTGTATTAAACTTCTGTTTTTGTCAGTAACGTTGATCGGCCATCCATTTGCAGGCAATTACTCTGCTCTTATGCAATATTTGGAAAAGGACAATGATTCGGTAGACGTGCAGTTGTGGAAGAGATTGGCTGATCCAGTATTAGTTCATGATGCTTTCTCATCGTTCACATGGCTGCTTTTCTGCCTGCCCTTACCGTTTCCTGCTAATGGTGCTCCATTTATCGCACTTCTTCATCTCTTCTATTTGGTGACTATAGTCCAGGTATTTATCGATCCTTTGTAAGGTATACAATGATGTAGTTTTCACATGCCAAGATTTTCTGATAACTCTTGCGCTTTTCTCATTTTCTACTTTCAAAGTTTGTATTGTTTATGCTGATAATGCTAACAACATGGCCATTTTGCATCTCAGTATCTTTTATGTACTCTAACTACTGTTTGTACACGGACTTCTTTTTCACTTACTGAGAGTCATTGCTTGCAGACTATAGCGCAGCTTGGGTCGTTTGCTACATCGGGTACAGAATTGACTCCATCAGCGCGTTCCTTTATTGCAGCAGTGCAGACAGGGTCGAATGGAACGGTTCTTGAGTCTTCCACGGGGGACAGCAGTATTTCTCCCACTTTGGAGTCTTATCTAGCTTACATACGGCGCTGTACTTTGCCTTTCCTACGCCGATGTTATCTTTTACAAAACTTACTGTCTGGTGCCGCACAAGTCCTACCTGTCGCAACAGCTCATCAATGGGAACTTCCTCAAGGTCATATACATTCCACAGAAACTGAAACAACTTCTGAGGACTCGAAAGATGCGGATAAGCAGGTATTGCTGGAGATGGAGGAGTTAGATCAGCTGGAAAGTGTCTTTTTAATTCCTTCATTAGTAAATATTTTTGAGCAGGAAACAAATCAGCAGCTTGTTCAAGCCTGGTGCAAGCATGTCAAGACAGACGCTGGTCCTCGAGGCATTCAACACAGTATACGAGTAACCACAGCGTCTCCTTTTAAATTGATGCAGCTACCATATTTATTTCAAGACCTTATGCAACGGTATGTATTGTACCAACCTTGGGTTATCGATATTCCCTTTTTGTCATAAATTTCGGGTCTTCTTCAAAGGTTGTCCTTGCACTTTTTCCTGAGATTGTTTTTGGAGATGAGGAGATCTACTGTTATCAGGATCACAACCAAATTATTTTAGTTGGTTTTGTTTGTTTCTAGTCAGTACTGAATGACTCGAAGGTTTTTGGTGCAGGTATGTGAAAGAGAAGTGTCCTCGCTGTAAGACAGTCCCCGACAAGCCTGCTATATGCTTGATGTGTGGAGCTCTTTGTTGTGCATTTAGTTTACGTCCCTGTTGCAGGTCAGTGTTACAACCTCCTTTCAGTATACTTCAAAGAAAATTTTCGGTGGAGATTAATACGCTTCTCCTTGTGTAGATACTTCTGCATCTCGTTTCTAGTATTTAAGTTCCTTACAAGTTAAGTAGAACTTTTGTTGAAAACACAAAAGAAATTATGCCTTGTTAGTCTTCTATGAACTTTTGCTTGTTATCTCATCAGTAATATATTTAAATTGGTTTTACAACTGCTACATTTGCATCGTTATTTTCCAGATTGTGATAATTTGCAGAACATGAACTATTGTAATAAGTGGTCCTTCGCCAAACTGTGCCAAAGTTAGAGTTAATTTACTGGTCATTTATATTGGCAGTGTGAACAGGCAAGGGGAATGCACCAGGCATGCTATGAATTGCGGAGCAGGCATCGGAATCTTTTTAATGCTGCGGGTAATTGTCTTTGCCTTGCTGTAGAGAAAATTTTGCAACTTGTACAAGTCAATACTAATTTATATTTCAATGTGTTATAGTGACTTGTTCCGTATGGTAAGTCGACAGTCAGACTCGCTACATGAAACTATAATTTCCAGTGAAAGGGATTGCTGTTTAACCTATTGAAATAAAAATCTCAAATACTAACTCTGTAGATGAAGTACACTTGGACACAAATATAGATCAACACTTAATTGGATATTTTGATGCTCCTTAATCTCTGGTACAAGTTGGTGTAAATATTTTGACAATTTAATACGCTTCATTGGTCACCAGATCCTTTTCATTAAACTTGGGAACCTATTTTTGCAGAAGACCAACATACTGTTGCTACGATGTGGACGTCAAGCTATGTGGCCATCACCGTATCTTGATGCTTTTGGAGAAGAGGTGTGCACTTTCTCTATTAGAATACCGAACTTCTATGTTTGTCAACAGGGATATTTTTGGATATGAAATGGCCCATTTCTTTGCTCTTTTTTCTGCTATTATTATGACCTTTTGTTTCGTTTGAGGTTTATTTTCTCGTACTTTCATTAAATTTATTTTACTTCAAAATAATCTTCCTCATGAATTACCTCTCTATTTTTCATGATAGGACCTTGAGTTACGGAGAGGCAAACCTTTGTATCTTAGCCGGGAACGATATGCTGCTCTCACTAATATGGTACGCCCTGGCTTTGTTGCGCTGTGACTTGGTTCAACTGCGATAATGGTTGATTGCTTTGGAAATTCGTATTATTTTTCAAGAACATTTTGGTCTCATCTAGGATAGGTTATAGTTTACTTGGTACTCTCTTTGCAACTTGTTCCTAGTAGACATGCAAGACTGAGTTAATGCGCTGACTTGAAAATCACAACCTCGATTACAGGTTTGAATGACTCGGTTTTGCTTATGTTTCAAGTCTTGTATTGCCTTGTTAGTAACCCTGTGTCCCTTCTGTTCATTCTTTTTTTATCTCTAACAACAGGTTTCTGCAAAATATAAATGTAGGTGGTTGCACACGGACTGGATTACAGCTCACCAGTTTTGTCGCACACGACCCGAGACATCCCATTTTGAATATCTTTGTTTCATAAGATAAATCAACCTTCTTTTGATACATATCAAGCAGAGGTAAATTAAGTTGTATGAGCATCGTCGTTTGTGGTGTGTAATGCATTTACTTATCAAATTGAGCTAGTAAAGTTTTTGTAGCTTCAGATAACAAGAGCTAGATTGGACCACCTTGAGATTAGTTCCAAGTATTTATTCATATTGTGATTTCATGTGCACCTTTCAACTTATTTGGTTTGCGTCGCTGAACTTATGCTGCTTTTTCATTTGAAACAGAAACAAAGACTCAGTTCGTTGGGATCCACTATTAATCTCATGAAATCAGTGGAGCTGAAGTAGCTGAAGTAGCTGAGACTAATCTGCCGAATTTTGTGTTGTCTACCTCTGGATAGGTGAGATTCAGAAATCATGAAACCATTCACTGTTTCCATTTCAATGTAGCCGTTTTTCCTGCTTTCTCGCAGTTATTTCGATATCTTACATCATCACTTTGAATCGGTGGAACGTGTTTTCATCTCCAGTTTCCTGCTTATAGATTGTGAACTACCTGCAACTTCGGAAGTTTACGTCTTAGACGACTGAATTTATGTAATCTTTGGGAGGTGCAGTTCCAGTGTCTGGGACTTTGCAACTGTAAAACAGATATTACTCTTGCTTTCGAACCTAGTTATTTGCTATGATGTTGAGGAATAATCGAAAGGACTAAATTCAGCGACACTACGCAGATCTTCAACCTCAAGTTGGAAGAGATGGTACAACGGGATCTTCTATGAAAGCGTGGGAGTTCTTTTGCGTAGGTTTTCAGGTGTAAATGACATAGCTATGTATGAAGGATATGAATGTTAGTACTGCAGATGAATTTTCTTAAAGCTGTTTTGACTGCGACACCAGTTACAGAAGTTTGCCAAGTTTGCCAAGTTTAGGAGACAATCACTCCACAGAACTGGCTTAGGGAACTGACCTTTTAAGTCAGTGAATGATCACTTTTGAGGTAAAATCATTTTTGTGATCGTGTATATTTTTACGATACTATCAGGGTTGCAGCTGCTCCTGTAATCGAATCAAGAATAATTTGAACTCTGAAGAGACTTATTCGGATGGATCGTAAAAGCCTGTTCCAGATCTGTGGTTTTGGTTGCATCTGCTATTGGATTCAATATGTGACCTTGTCAACTTCCACACATCTCAGCAACTGGCCAATGAATGGTGGACTAATCTTTGATTGCACTAATTCCCCGCAAGATCTTCGATACTTCTGCATTGATTTGTGTACTATCTTGCAGTTTCCTCTTCAATTATTTGGTGCTTAGGATCCCAAGGATTGTAACATTTATCTTGATGCGGATATCAACCGTGAACACTCATGCAGATTTGTATCAGTAAGTAACACGTGTGCACAACGTCCAGCACTGTAATTGATTTCCAATTACAATTGTTCTGATATCCATGCCATGACCTTGCATTTTTGTTTTTAAACTAGTTCTTGTTTATTGATTGGTCTACTTACATGCTTGGTATGGTAAACATAGCAAACATTACATAGTGCACTTTCATTGAATCATGTTACTTATAAAGCAAAACGATTTTCCAATTTTCATGTGTAACATTAACCATTAAAACATGCATTTGTAATTACAATTGAGTATAATTGACTTGTTCAAATTTAGTGTGTGATTTCTGGTAATATTAACACGTAGTTTTAAAATGGTGCAGAAATCAGATATTTACTTAAATTTTGATTTTTTTGATTTTTTGATTTTCTTCAATAATAAAACAATGCACATCTTGCAACATATAAATAATTGAAAGATTTTTTTATTTTTTATTATTATATATCTATATATATATATATATATATATATATATATATCTTTACCACTTCATCACCAACTATTATATTAAATCAAAATTTATGTATCATGTAATTTGACCTATATTCTTCAATAAAAAGTTTAAAATTTTTAAAAATTAATTTGGTATATTAATCACTTTGGCACAATGTTAATTTGTGAAATTTATGGTTTATAATGCACACAAGAGTAGGTTTTTGAGATGATATTTAATACTTTTAAATAATGGTAAACATCAAATATTAAAACCAATTTGATAATCATCAAATTTCTTGTATTTAAATGTTTCAAATGGCAATCAAAATCAACTAACAAACTTTGCACATGGAGAAAACCTTCATCCCACAATTCATAGAGTCTCCACCCTATTCTTACTTCTTCAAAACACATTTGCAACACCTTTACACCAAGAATAAAAATCATATAACAAGCAACTCTAACATCTAAAATTCTATCAAGATGGGGTTTACCAAAAACCCACTTGGACATAACCCAACTTCCCACTTTGCATACACTTTATGATACTTTTTAATTATTGCACCTCAATGTATTAGGGTTGACCACAACAATAGGCCACAAGAGGCCTACGTCGGGAACACGATTCCAACGATAGGAACTCGTTCCCAAGTGCACTTTCCACCGCATCCAATAAGAGCCACACTATTAGATTTGTCAGACGAAGTCTATGGATGGAAAGGCTCATCCACACGGCAATCGGGGTGCCTGATCCGAATCCAGATTCTAGCAACTCGGACCTATATCCGTGTATCGCACAATGAGTTGCAGAATGAGCTCGAAGGCTGAGTTTCGGAGGAGCGTCGCTTTTTACTTCGGCGGCATTCGAGGTAGTGTTTTTGTTATTATTTTGTATAAAGTTTTCGTCGAGGATTACGATCACAGTTGTTTCGTTGAAGTATGTACGTAACCAGAAGAGAAGTCTCTCTTTCAGCTTCACACATGTCGCAGTGAAGGACCTCTATCCAAAAGAAGTGTAGAGGCCGAGCGTTCATTGGCTCGAGCAATGTTGCTTTTTGTCCGCACTCGTCGCTCTTTTCGGAGACGGTATGAGATGCTTTTCTGTTCGTGCTGATGGCGATCAGGCTGGCTGCGCAACTGGACGATCGGTCATTAGCGTAGGCCACACCGGAATGATGATTTACTGACAAGGTTTGCAGATATCTTCATTTGGCGTGGGTTTGGTGGTTGCAGGGTTTACGGTTCTGAGCAAGAGAGTTTCACGTGGTTTTGGAACGCGGCACTGGGAATTTTGAGGGAGTTAGTGGATGGTGTGCGGCTTCCGGAGAGAAATGAAGCTCGAGTAGGTGCTCGGGGGGTTTATGTTGTTTGTAGGAATACAGGCAGGGATAGTGGAGAGGGAATACGGAGCAATGGCACTCTCCCTGCCGCGGTGCCCTCCTCCGGAGCCTCTGCACCAGCTCGCCGGCATTCGGGAACGCAAGTTGTCCACGCACCGGGTACAAATCTCTTCCTCTGCGTTCTTTTCTAAGCAGGTCTTTCTGTCTCCCTAATATTCTAACCCCCTTTTGCGTCAACTTACATTTGAGATACATTCTATATTCCTCAAAAAATTTACCTGTCGACCGACCAGGTCCACTGTGCACTTATATTTCCTGGAGCTTCGTGTTGCTTAAATTTTTCAGGGGGTTGGTTTCCAGTTGAACTACCTTCTGGCTGTTACATCTCACTGTTGCGAAGTTGAAGACAGCGAACTATCTTTTATTCCTCACTGTACTAACTTCTTTCAGCTTTCAGTAACTTGGTTTTTCATTTTGCGTTTCATACCCATAGTTGCCGTAAACCATTTATCTCATGGCTCTGTGCTTGGAATCCAGGAGAGGATTCGAATACTCTTGTCTTTCATTAGTTTTGTCTAGAAACTTGAAATTCTTACGTACACGGGATTCAAGTATGAGTGCTGTGTTTCTGCATTGCTGCATCATTTTTACTCATCTCTTCTTTGTGATTTACGTTTTCGTGAAAATGCAACTGTCGAAGAAATCGATACTGTCCATCTTAATGATCGGCACATGCGTTTCTGCAGCTCCGAAGGTCAACTCGCGCCATCCATGATTCGACAGAAACTAGTTCAATGCAACTGGCTTCAACCGATCACATGAAAATTCCAAGCACAGAGCCATGTTGTAAAATTTCTCCGTTAGTCATAGTTCCGAGGAAATCTGCGCGGCGGTCATCTCGGCTGCGAGCCAAGAAGAGTAGGGGAGACGTGGAGGTAGACTCAGCCGATATAGAGGCAGCAGAATGGGTGAGTAGGACTTTGGCCAACAATGGAGTTGTGGAGATTGATCCATTGACAATAACGGAGCAGATTAGGCTTGCTCAGAAAACAGGCTCCACGAATGCTCAAAACCCTGTGGCAAGTCTCACTACCTCTTCAGAGGTTCCTAACTATTTTTCTCCAACCGGTGGACTTCCCAAGGTGCCATTTGGAGTTGCTCTGGCTGCAGGTATGAAATATTTTGACGAAGATTTTGTTGGTATCTTGCTCTTTTTATCGCAGACTTTCTTTCACAAGTGAAGACCATGGATATAGATGTTCTATCTACGCTTTAGGGTTTCGTTTCTGATGAATCATGTTGGATATAGGTTCTGCCGTTATTTTGGCTGCCGTCGCGGTACTGGTGCGAATTTTGAACACACAAGGAGCTGCAGCTGGAGCTGGTGTCGTCTCCAACCAAACCGATTCGGAGGGAAATCGTTTGCGTAGTAGCCTTGCTGGTGAACCTTTGAACGAAGATTTCGCTTCCGATCAGTCGTCGAAGGGCTCGAGTGCTCCTGCTTTAATGAAAGATAAACGATTAGCAGCGGATGTGTTGGCAAGCGCAGCAGGATTGTCACCTGGAGCGGCAATTTTAACCCCGTATGACCTTCAACCTGGCACAGTAAAAGCAGGCCTTAATCGTTCCTCAATGCCCCTGCCTCCAACTCTTTCAAAAGCTGGGTTAAGAAGTCAAACGTCGGGCCGTAATCAACAAGGGGAGACCTCTACTCGAGATTCTGCTACTCCTTTTTTCTCTTCAGACAGCTCTAATGTGGCTTCTTCAACCCCAACTTCTTCTGTTTCAAGGTGGCTAGAAGGGAAATATAAGTCAGTCTCTCCTTTCTTTCCTTCTGATCGGGTAGCTGCAGTAACTAGTTACGAAAATGCGTCTTCCTCAGAGAGTGTCACTCCTTCCTTTCCGGACGAGCAGGGTAGTGTACCTCGTTATGAAAGTTTGGTGGAAAATGTTCCTCCATTCTTTCCCGATGAGCAGGGCAGTGAACATCGTGACAGATCGTTGGAAAATGCTACCTCATTCTTTCCCGATGAACAGGGCCGTCATTCTGACAGTGGGCCTTCCTGGGAGGCTGTTACTCCGTTCTTTCCAGACGACCAAATTAGTAAGCGGCAGAATGGATCATCCTTGGACACTGTCACTCCCTTCTTTGCTGATGAGCAGGGCAGAGATTCAGCAGGCGCATCACAATTAAATACCAGTTTTAAGTATGAGAATGTGATCCCGTTCTTCCCGGACGATCGGGTTGAAAGATTAGGACCTTCACAATCTGGAGAGCAATTCGGTAGATGGAATGGGGGAAGCAGCGGAGAACTCAGAATATTTTTGACTGAGGTCAGTTCGCCTGGTTGGTTCCAAATTTGCTGAAAGTGATGAATTATAGGGAAAAATCTGGTACAATATTTTTTGCCACTCCCGGACAAATGCAGCGTTGAGGACAAGCGTGTATTTTCTTCTATCCCTGAACATCCTCTCAGTGGCCTTGTGGGATCCGAGGGGAAATGGATGCTGGCTGAAATCTCGAAGATATGAAACAAAGACAGACGTTAAGAATTTAATGAAGTGATTTAGAGTGGGATTATAGCTTGTTTTGGCAAAAGATATGTTGATGCTTTTTGACGATTGTTGTGGATCATTTAGCCACAGTGACGTTTTGATATGCATGTCCAGGCCGAAGAAGAGAGGGTAAATGGCCAGTATCAAGCGCTGCAGGCTGCTTTCCCAGTTGTAGCTATCGGGGCGGGTGCTTTAGGTGCTCTTGCTGGAGGTAGCAAGCATTTTCTAATCTTTCACGACTCTCCAGTTTTTCAAAAATCTTCGTATGTTGTACTTAGTGCACGACGTTTGCAAGTTTGATTATTTATTTTTGTATTAATGTGGTGCAGTGGATGGAGCATTAGAAATGGTGGGGCTCACTGCGACTGCCAGCTTCATTTCATATGAGTTGCTTTGGGCAAATAAAAGGTTCGGGCTGTAACTTTCTCCTTTTGTTTCAGGTCATGTGCGTATCTTTCAACACACCTAGCTTTAAAAGGACACCGGTTGGACTTTCTTCGATCTGATGATGGAAAAAGAAACCCAAATTTCAATAACTATCTCTGATTTTGTCTAGATGAGTGCATCTGTCTTGTTTTATAGTCTCTTCGCAACTCCGTTGTGAGGATAGTCGCTAGGAATGTGTACTCTGCGTCAGTGCTCAAGGTCAGCTCAACAATAGTCAGTCTTCGAAATTAATGTCTGGCACAGGAAAGAGCTTGTGGAGGAGCTGTCCAAGATCACCGACCACAGGGGATTCCTTAGGTGGCTCCGAAAGCGGAAGATCGTGAAGGATGAGTGCTAAAGCATTGACCATGCCTCGAGAAAGTGATTCCTTGCACCATGATTGATCATCAGAATAGTTGGATTACCCCCTGTATAATGGCGGCACATAGCAGTTGGATAGCGAACCCTGGTTTGAAAATGATGCACCTTCTCTATAATGCAAAGTGAGTGTATATTACATAGACTAATCATGTACACATGAAGGGTAATGAAAACTGTTGATTAGGAGTTGTGCCGAAAGTTTCTGCAAGTATTGCAGTGCAAGTGGAACTTATTGTGGGTCATTCAGAGGAGCCCTAGATAGGGTAATATTTTATATGCAACTGTCATGTATTGTATCATGTTTGGTTTGGGATTTGAATACATATATCAGAGGGTTTAATGCACAAGTGTTCATTGTGCACCCTCGGTATTAAGTATCGAAATTGATTGCTCCAGTTGCTCTTTCTGAGAACATCTTATACATCTGCTTGGAATCACTCATCTAGAATATCTAGAGAATTCCTATATATTTTATTTTATATTATTCTTCTGTTTAATTTTTGGGTAAATAGAATATATTATATTCTATGTGTATATAAGAAAAGCAATAATTTCTATGAGTACAAGTTGATGGGGTGTACAACAAATGATCAATTCTGGTCAATACGAAGCTCTTCAATTCCTTTGTTTTGAACTAATGCGTAATTAAGTTCTTTCTAGGCAAATATATAGTGACGACTTAAAAAGATGAGATACGTATTGAAAAAAAATTAAGAACAATATCAAATTGTATATTGAAACTTGAGGTGTGGTTAGAATAAAAATAAAATAAAACATATTCTGGAGGTTTCTTTCCAACATAAACATGTATAAATATAATACTAACAAATAATTAGAAGGGATGGTAAATCTGAGCTTAACTTTTAATTTTGAAAATATGATTTGATATATGTAAAAACAAATACTAAACTTATCGAATAAAAGTAATTAAAATACTTCTCATTTATGTGTATTTGTCTTTCTTTTTAAGATAAATTCATGTATCATAGTATACAAATATATTTTTTAGTATTAAAAAAATTGGAATTATATTGTATTTATAGACAATATTTGTTTGACTACATTAACATACTTAGTTCATAGATTTGTGGTGCGATTTTATTATATACTGTAAAAAAACCTTTGATGGAGTAATTAAAATTTACGATTATTTTAAATAAAAATTTTACATAAATTCAATTTTGTGATTTTTTTCAAAAAAATATCATTATAAAAGATTTAATATAAATTACTTTTATTAAAAATAAAAATAATATAATTATTTTAACGATTCTTGAATTGATGTGCATAAATATTTACTTTTATTGATATATTAATTAATTTTTATTTCTAAATAAACAAATTTAAAATTATCTAGTTCTAGGTTCAAAATATACTAATACCTTCTGTTTTAATTTTTCTATATTGAATAATAATCTGACTGTTTTGATAGTCTTGTTACAATAAGATTGATAGAAATAAATAACGACAAAACTTAAATGTAAGAATAAATAAAGAGACTGGTAGATATAAAACAATTTGTGGAGTCTTAAATATAAAAAAATAAAATCAATCATTTAAAACATTCTAAATTATTTTAATCACCTTCAACTTGTATATTAATTTTCATGGTATTTTTTTGGAACAAAACATCACAAGTAAGAAATTTTATTTTTGAACCTTATACGTAATTTTTAAACGATATAAATAGGATAAATTATAAATTTAGAGTTATGGTTTTTTATTTTAATTTGTCATAAAATTCTAAATGAAAGTGTCCTATGTTTCTACAATACCAAAATGTTGTGCACTCAACTTATTGCCATTTTAACTAAAATTTTATTAAATTCTCAAAAAATCAAAGATTTTTATCTATACTCATTGTAATACATCAATGAGTTTTTCTATTTTAAGGCTCAATAATTCTTGTGAATTCATTTCAAATACATAAAAGCTTCTCTTACAAAAACGATGTCATACAATGTGATATCAAATAATTATTAACAGCTCAATATATGTTCTTTGGCTTACAACCAATCAAAAAAGTATATTAACAATCAGAAATTTTCATGACTAAAATACAGTTATTAAAAATGAATGTGTTGGGTTCTTATATAATTATTCAGAATTTTTAAAATTTTAAATTTTTGTAATAAATATTAGATGATTCTGGATAAACTTCTAGGATCTTGTCTACCTTCTTGGGAAACAACTAAAAATTCTAAATTACTTAAATCAGATAAATTTCTATTCTAATTATCCCAATCATATATTTTTATGATGTTTAAATATTTTAAAACCAATATATTGGATAAAATAGACATCTGCTAGTCAACAAATCCATTAAAAATCAATGGTGTTCGAATAATATATACCAATATTAGATTTGTGAGGATGCCAAGTCAAAGTAAGCATGCAAGTATATTTACAAATCTGGTTGCAAAATTATTTTATGCTGGTTCAAAGAACTTTTTCGGGACATGCGTACATTATTTCAATTTGATTTAATTGGGTATCAAATAAATAAATGAAAACAAAAGAAAACTTAACATCTATATAATATAATTGTAGGATTAGATTGTAGCAATCCTTATTAATTTCTCATAACTTTCTGAAATTGGATAGAATTCTTTAAAGTTTCTTTAAGTTGGGGGGCCCAAAAATGTGTTTGATGCTTTTTTTAGTAACATGGGCCCAATAGGATTGTTTGACAAAGTAAGTTTCAAATAAAGAATAAAAAATAAAATTTCAATAATCAGTCCAAATCACAAAATGAAATAAAGATTTTAAATTAAAGATAATAATCTTATAACCAAAAATGTTAAGTCTTATAAAAGATGAAGGAGAAAGAAAAAGAAGAAAAAGACATGAAGCAAAAAGTAGCAGATGCAAATGATGTGGAAAATTTGGACATTATTGTATAACATGTGTTTAATGCAAGACTCCAATAAGACAAACCACATTTAGAAACTTTAAAGAAAATTCCAAAGCACGAATCTTAAGCTAGAATCAATACTTTCAAACAATCAAAGGTCAAAAACATAGAAATAAAGAATAATTTATTATATTATTATTGCATTTGGCAGATGACAAGATTATGTATACCATCAATAAACTGTGCTTCCACATCAAGACCCACATGAATTTTATCTCATGCTCATACACATCAAATCATCTCAAATTCCAATTTTCTCACCCATCCTTCCACAAAAAAAAAAAAAAAAAAAAAAAAAATCAATTTTTGTTTTGTTTTGTTTTGTTTTGTTGTGTGTTATTTTATTTAGATTTTCAAGCCAAACGGAAGTGAACACATCCAAAATACACCCAACAATCAATTATCATTCAAGTTATATATCATTATTCACAACAATCAAGGGTTTTGTCATGTGGGTATAACCAAAGTCACAGTAACTACAATGTTTCATTATCTGCCACGTCAGAAAAATTTGCAAAAGTAATCCAAACCTCAAAATAATCGGACACAAACCCACACAGAAAGTCCTAGACCTTCGTCGACGAACGAACTTCACATCTCGACGTAGTTACTTCTCCGTCGACGAAGTTTAGTACCCTGGACGAGCGAGGGGCATCGTCGACGAAGTTCAGCGTCGGAAGTCGGACGGACGGACAGACGGACGGAGCGTGTCCGTCGAGGAGGCGTTGCGGCGTTGTAGGTTGTCGATATGCCCAGAAATATATATATATATATATATAGATAAGGAATATAGATTCATGCGTCGTGACAAAGTAGAGGCTTTTCGAATGGAGTCGCAGACTTTGCTGCTGCAGATTGAATCCCGACTAGCTGCGATCTGCGGTGCAGATGAGGTCCACATGGACGCAAAAAGGAAAGAACCCCCTCGCGAACAAGGTCTTGGGGGTGCAGTCCCACTGGCCCACGATCATTGTACCGACAGTGAAGCCGGAGTCATGACGATCAAGAGACCCGGATCAGCGCCGCAATCGGTGTGCATGACTGGTAGATATGCGCTTGACCACCATTAGTTTAATCCTTGCCTGCGCATGCAATCTGCACTACTGCAAGTCTCGGCCTGGGGATCTTCACCGTAGGAGCGTTGTACCTGGTTACTGTAGCCTCCTCCGACTGGAAGGGGACCCTTCTGTGCAAGCGCACGGATTGTCGATTCGTGGGGGATTGTTTCTCTCTTGGTTGCACGCTCTTAAGGTGAGAGTTATCGATTTGTGAGGTCATGCTCAGGTCCACCAGTGTCCACTGTTGGAAAATTGCGATCGGCGAGTGAATGTGAACGGTTTGTACACAGCCGCTGCAATTGAACCTGAGGTTTTGAGTGCTGTGGGGTGCTCGGGACCTTGGTTTTCACGTCGTTTGTGTTGGATGTTTGCTGGTGATTTGTGCTGTGCAGAGTTGCTAATCGACCATGGAAGGCCCGGCGCTGCACTTGTCGCAGGTTGATGCCGACCTGAGGAAGTTTAAGGGGTTTGTCGATGTCCCCTACCAAAGCTGGTCGTCGGGAACGACGATAGCAGACCTCGAGAAGGAAATTGCGTCCCAAACGGGGCTGAGGGTTGCGTTCATTGCGTACCGTGGTGCGCGCTTGGCCAAGGACACGCAGCTCTCTAAGCTGGTCTTGGATCTGCATCAAGGCTCCAAGCTGATTCCTCGCTTTTCGGTGCACACAACGTCGGGTGACAACATCTTCTTCGTGAAGTCGTTGAAAGGTAATTCCATAATGCTTGATTTGCCGCTCAAGAGTACAACCGTGATGGAGTTGAAGGAGGAGGTGGCGGCCTTGGAGAACATCCCGACCAAGTATCAGAGATTCATCTACAATGGCCAACATTTTGCCGACGGTGAGCTATCTGTGTGCCGTGACACCGTCAAGAAGACCCTTCACGACTACGGCGTGGAGCGAGACAGCACGCTGCAGCTTCTGACTCGTTTGCGAGGTGGTGCCACCGATGTACCCGCGTCGATCGAGTTTTCAGACTTGCAAAACCAGAAGGCCTTGAAGGTCTTAAACTGGTCGAAAACCGCTCCCGTCTGGCGCATCGTAGAGAAAGGCTTGAACCTCGAAGGCAAGTGCACGAACAACGCGTGTCCTGGGAACGGTCAATTGGTGATATGTCGAAAGGGCTTCGTCGCCGTGAATCTTTCCAAGGAGCAAGGTACCTGTCCGATTTGCAAACAAGGGGTGCAAGTCAAGACTTGCTCCTTCACGAGTTGTATGTGGATGTATGAGGGCCGCAAAGCAATCACCAACTCCCCACCCTTACGTGGCTCAGAACTGTCACGACGGTGCAGTAAGGTTACTAATCTTCTTACAAAGTGCTTTAGTGGGAAATCTCCAACCGATGACTACTACCCCACGTTGGAGAAGCAGCAGGACACGGTCGGCCAAGACATCGTCAGTCCGTGGTATAGAGCATCGGACAAGTATGAGTATTTCAAACGGGCAAACAACATGGTGAAGTGGGAGAATCTGATCATCGTTGCAAAGAAACTCCCAGTTGTTTCCAAAGATGGTCCGAATGCGGAGGCACCGCAGGATGAGCCTTGTTCCATCTGTTTCCAGGCATTTGGACCCAACTCAGATGCAAACAAGAACCATACGACCTCCTGCGGGCATACTTTCCACGCCGATTGTGTGGAATCGTGGCTCTCGTGCGGAGGAACTGCTTGCCCAATTTGTAGGGTTGATCTCGTTGTAGAAAAGTGACGACCTCCACCTCTGGGTACAAGACGACGACCCCAATGTCTCCAGACGTGCCTCCAAGTCACCTTGCTACTCGCGGTGCACAGGGAGTCTCTATACAGTGGTAATGTTTAGTCCTTTTTTTATGTAGTTTTTGTTCACAACACTGTCTTGCATCATGTGTTCTTGCTACGTGATGAATGTTCGGCTCTTTGTGTTAACAAAAAAAAAAAAAAAAAAAAAAAAAAACTCCCCCACAATTTGTATGTACTCTCTTGCGCCCATTTCTGTAAGATATCTCCAAGATTTATTACCATATGGTGAAGTTCATACATTTCTCGAAAGTTGAGCTGGCTAGTTGCATCATATTTGTAAAAGTCTTATCTGTAAATCATGGTGAAAAAATTGCGTTCGGAGTAGCTTTTGAGAATCACTTGCTCCTATTCCGAAAGATTGGATTGACTTAATTTTTTATTCATTTACTTATTTACTTATAATGAGCAAGAATGCAGTAAGACCAATGTCTAGCATGTAACCAATTTTCCCGATTGATGTAGCTAGAAAATCACACAAGCAGACTTGCAATCATTCAACATCTATGGATTGCAAGAAAGCGAAGTCGAGATGTTTTTGGCAATATGCATGAATTTTGGTTTGGGTTCTCGAGTGAGCTTGAATCAATCCACAGCACTGTCGTCATGGGATTTGCAAACACGCGCACCGAGGACAATGTGCATCGGCACCTATACTGACGGCTAGTCAAAACAAATATCCCTCTCAGGATTATCGCATCTAAATTTAGATACGATGAAGACTCAACTTAGACTCGTATTGCCGACAAAGCCAGTTAAACAAATCTGAAAATAATAAAAATGGGGACCAAAGATTGCGTCATTGCAGGCCGAGTGTGGATGATCCTCGTACTTCCAGAGGTAAATATTCACTACAGACCACTTTTGTGTCAGTCGGCATCCTCGACTTTTTCCATCACCATTCGGTCCTGATTAGCACAGATAATTTTCCCTGAACTCGCATCGTTTTCTCGTCACTTCATCGCAATCGTGGAATCAGTCAAGAAACACACCTAATTTGGACATCTGTCATTGCAAAACTCGAGGACAACCCTGCGTGCAACACCCACCTTCCCTCACTTATCTAACGTTATAACATGCTACTGTTGGCTTTCTCTGGAAAATGTCATCCGAGTATTTCACCATCAGAAGGATGTCATTGCGGCACAAAGTGTGAATCTTTTTCCACAACTAAAGTTGCATTGATCATTGTTAAGACTACACTGAATGTGTAATGTCGATCTAATAGAGTCTCTGCATCACATGGTAACCCTGCGATGAACGGCAATAAAAAAAAAAAATAGGAAAAAAAAAATCATATTTCTTATATAAAACAGCTCTGGGTATAAACCATCTTAAATATGTTGTAATTTGTAAATAGTAGTACTTCAAGATCATTAGGCATGGAGGTTGTGAAGGTTGTGAAAAGCAACCTTGGAGCAGTGCTGTTGCAACTATGGTGTATTCCATGCGGTCTTTAATTTCTTGCCTTTGTCTTCTTGCAAGGCATTGTTGAACTGTTGGTTAAGAATTGATTTGTGTAGTTGTTTTGGATATCAAAGATTCTTCTTGAGGTTAGATTTTTTGCCTAAATTAATGATTTCAATACTTATGTCTTATTTTTATTACAATGATAGTATCAGCCAAATACACACGTAGAAGATTCAATGATGAAATTATGACGGAAATCAAATTTGTATCATTTATGTTTTAAGGGTGGCAACTTTTTCTATTTTAATTTTTTTTTTTTTTTTTTTTTTTTTTTTATTTCAAGACTGACATCTCTTTTTGTGGCAAATGGCAAAAGTTCTTACTAGTCTATTATAAAAAAACTTGGATATAAGATAAAGAAACAAAAATATATTTTGATTAGCTGTTGAGAAAGGAATTCTAAGAACTTAGAAAGCACAAAGTTATTGAGGCTTGAGTATCCCCAAGAACTGAGTTGTTGAGACTCAATAACGGCTTCTTCATTTGCCACACTAATCAAAGCTTCAATAAAAGGTGTTATGCTTGTTTCTTTTTGCAGCCATCATTATTCTTTGTTCTCAATTGAAATCCAAATATTCAATTTATGCAAAAGAAGAAAGTATAGGTTGCCAAAATCTATTCCAATTGTAAGATTAAAATTATCTGTAATAATACTCATATATATTTTTTTTCTCAATAACAAGTGCAAGAGATACTTCTTCAATAGATTAAAGCCTACAAAGATGTTATGGATAATTTTCATGACACCTCAATGAAGAAAAAGAGGAGGAATATAAAGAAGCCATATTCTAGGTCTATTATGGAAGAATTACTAGAAGTGATTTAGAAGAAAAAAATGGAAAAGATGGAGGTGCATGTTGTAGCTCAAAATGCAGCATTATATGAGATATAAGAGAGGATCAAGAAGACAAAGAAAGCTTGTGCCACTGGCCACAAAACTTATTGTACAATTATGTAGGTAATTTTTGCTATATATCATTAATCATTGTTTACTTTATGATTCATAAAGTTCAAGAACATCTTTGCGACAAAGATTAATTATACGTTGCAAAGATGATAATGAATGGAATTCTAATTTTTATATGTATCAATTTGGAAAAGTAAAAAGACCAACATGGCATATAGAGCTTGATAAAGAAAAGTCTACATTTCCAAAGTTGATTAAGTAAGAAGTTTGTTGCCATCTTTGCAATCTACTACTTAATCTCTTATCATATAATTTGATATATTAGACTTGATTTTCTATCATATGGCCACAATTATGTCCATTGAACGCATGTGGCAAGATAATTCTTTTGATTCAACATCATAACAGAGTATGATCTTCTATTCTTTGATATCTATGCTATCAAGCTGTTGTCAAGAACATGAACTAAAAAAGGATGCATAAACTTGTGAAATCCATGTCAAAAAAAAAGTAACAAAATAGAAGTAAAGAAGTGTATATATTAAAAAGAAACTAGAATGGCTATTACCAAAAGACAAGGAAATTAGAGACTCTTGAATCTAGACTAGAAGTAAGAAAGGAGTTGATAAGAGTGAAGAAGGCTTCACTTTTACCTCTATATATATTATGTACGAAAGATCTATATGGCGACATTCTATAGGACTTCTATAAACGTGTTGACTTTGTATGATAAGTATCTTGACTTGGAAGGCAAGTTTTCTATATAAGTGCCACAAAGTTAGCTTATTCCACAAGCTACCAATACATGTGGTATGTTGTCATATTACGTGAAGTCTTCCTCAAGAGTGCACTGAATACCTTGTTGTAGAAGATAAATGGAAATTACAAAAATAAAATTTTAATTCTAATAAAATAATAAATAAAATATAATTAAACCTTAACATTGCTAAATAAGCATTAAATAAAATTCAAAAGAAATCTTAAAGAAATTATAAAAGAAATAATAAGAAATCTTAAAAGAATAGAAAGAAAATCCACAATAAAACTTAAAATAATCCTTAAGAAATCTAAAAAATATTAGAATAATCACAAATATATCTTAAATGAATCTCAATTAAGTTCTAATTTAATTCTAGTTGAAACTCTAATAAACTTCAATCAAACTCTAGAAAAATCTTAAATCCTAAATCAAACCTTAAATCGAACTTTAGACAAACTCTAAATCCTAAATAAAATCCTAAATCAAACCTTAGATAAATCCTAAATCCTAAATCCTAAGCCTTAAATTCTAAATCAAATCTTAGATCAAATCTTGGACAAATCCTAAATCCTAAATCCTAAACCAAATCCTAGAAAAATCCTAAACAAATCTTAAATCCTAAATCAAATCCTAGATAAATCCTAAATAAATTCTAAATAAATTGTAAATCCTAAACCAAATTCTAGACCAAATCCTAATCCTAAATCAAATCCTAACCAAATCCTAATCAACTCAATCTAATCCTAGCACTATTCAGAACCTTAATATCTATCAATCAAAGTATTGATTTTGTCTAAAAATTTGCATATTTTTCAAAAACTAAGTTGGCAATAAGTACAAATTTTTTTAAGATAATTATACTTACCAAATATAAGAAAGATCCTAAACTCTGCTTCGGTGTTGGCTAGCCTCTTATTCCAATTTCAATATTGAACTTCAAGTGCGAATATCTCCTTATCAAATTATTTAACTCTTTTTAAATTTTATATATTTATAGTAAATAAATTCAATTATCTTTCAATAAAATTTTTATTCCAATCCAACTAAAAGATTGCTAAAGATCTTAAAAATCCTAATTACCTTTCAAAGTCCAATCTTTGAAACCTCAACCTACTTGAAATTCAATATCCTTCAATTCAACTGTTCGATCAAGCTCAAACTTATAGAATATACTTAAAAAAAATAATTTAATAAGTTATTAAAATTTGAACTATAGATCTACTACCAAACTTACAAAATTCTCCAAAATGTATTATCTTTTTTATTTCATAAATTCCACAGTCACCTAAAAACTTTTTGATTTTGTAAAGCTCTTGCAAAGTCGTTATATGCTTAATTCTCTCAAAATAAATGCTTAAAGAAACCCTATTAATTTTTCTTTCAAATTCCACTCTTTGATTTGCTAAAGAACCCTTGACTTGCCATAGGTGCTTGGTTTTGTGCCTCGGGGTCTGATTTTGACCTAGGTTGATAATCAGTTCTCTTTAAATATGAAATTTTATCCTTTTGAATTAATTTTTATTTCAATCAACTCCTAACTTCTTCCTACATATATTCATATTCTTTATTTTTCTAATCTACCTTGTTTTATCTTATTTATGGCCTTACAAAATAATTAGAAGCTTACTTTACAAAATGGTAGTATTTAAATCTTTAATTCTACTTTCTTTTAGACTATTGTATATTTTCTAAGATAATTTGCTATAATATTTGAAGTAAGTTCTTCTATAATATATCAGATTCTTCTTCCCTTTCACCTAGTATTTGTGTTATATCATGACAACATGATTACATTGTTCACCAACTTTCTAACCTATCAATCAACTATAAATATATGTAAATTCAAAGTAGTATCTAAGAATCTTCTAAAAATATTTTAAGAATCTTTTTTAGAAAGAATTATGAAATTAATTTACTTTTACATACTTCTAGCTATTTATATTATCTAGATGACAATTATAATAGATATATATCTGTGACAATTACGTATTATATGTCTTCAATATATGGACAATATATCATAGATCCTAATAG